GATAATACAAAAATTATTAGTTGAACGATTTTTTGGCAACTTTCCCACACCTGTGGTGTATTTTAAACATTAGACAGATAATTTGTTTGCATAATTTGTCTCGTGATCAAGCGTTGCATGGCAATGCTAGTTTTGTTGCTAATTATATATATATATATATATATATATATATATATATATATACTAGATGACCCGACAGACGTTGTCCTGTCCCACGCCTAGTTCAGTTATTTTTTTTATATATTATTCTATGTAACCACTTTGTAGAAAAATTATTATGCAGTTTTATAAACTTTTGTTTGATATATTTACTAGAAAATTTGATTCAATTTTAGTTGTAACTTTTTCAGATTTACCATAAGACGAAATGGGTCGCAGACTGGTTATTTGCGAGCATACAATGTGCGACATCCCTGGAGCTTCAACCATGATACTGCAAATACAGAGTAAATTTTATTTTTCTTATTTAGATAGCAGTTTAAATTTTCAAAATGTAGTAATTTTTAAAATTATTTGTAGTGTCAAATATGATACTATAATTGAACACATGTTTTTCAGGATCCGATAAAGTATCCAAAAGTAACATCACTACTTGATTGCTATACCGATATCTGGTTATATTGTTAGTCTGCAATATTTAAACAACTGCTCAAAACTTTCTATTTAGAAATTTACTGCTACTAATTATTTAATAAGACTACAATACTCCTACATGCTGAAATGCTACTCTATTAGAAATACTACAGCAATAATATAGTTACTATAATACTAGTGGAACTACCATAATACTAATAATAAGTGGCATTGCTGCAATACTAACATACTACTATACAAATAAACCAGGAATACTACTGCATAGCTACAGATGTACTACTATTAAAATACTACAATAATACTAGAAACACATTACTGAAATATTATACAATAATAGAATTACTGCTATTACGATACTAACACAATTATTTTTACTATACGGGAAGTCCATAAAATCATGTGTACCATTATATAATCTCTCTAAGTTACCGTTTTTATTAATCGGTAAAATATATTAAACTACATAGTTAGTATTGGTATTTTACCTTGAGGCAATTTACATAAACTTTCCGATATGTGTAAATTTCGAAATTACAAGAACGGCTCGGCCGATCATTGCACAAAACTGAGAACGATAATCCTCATCGAAATACATTGATTGGCTTTTAAATTTCTGAAATCCGTTCAGGCGTTTTTGAGAGCAAACGTCCATGAAAGGTCTAATTTTAACAAATGCCAAAAAACGATACTAATTTTTGCAAACTTTTTTCTTTGACGAATTTTAAGCTAAACGAGTTGTCGTAGGGTCATAATGTTTAGTATGATTTATAAGATTATGGTATCTACCGACAAAAAAAAAATAAAAATCGTTGAAAAAAAATCTTTAAAACTTTATTACAAGAAAACGGCCCGTCCGATCTCTACAAAAAACTAATCAGCACGGTTCCCAAACTATTGCTTTCGAACGGTTTTTGAATTTTCAAAATCGATTCAGAATTCCAGTCTGAAACGTGGACGAAAAATGTTTCACTGTATGCTATTTATAAAGAACGGCTTGGCCGATCGTCGCACAAAACTGACATACAATAGTTCTCATCGAGATACTTCGAATGGATTTTAAATTTTTGAAATCTGTTCAGCCGTTTTTGGGAAAACGCCAATTTACGGCAAAAAATCTGTTCACAGACACACACATACTTTTTTGAAATTTTGTCTCATTCGATTCAGAATGGCTTGAAACGTTTGAGAAAACATAAAATTAGCTAATCGGATTTTTTGGCGAAAACAAACTTCTCAGAATTTTGGAATTGCTGATATATGACCATCCCAAGATTCTTTCTACTACCATGATTATTCGTAGGTGTTAGGAAATCATTTTGGAGCTAAACCTGTTTAAATCTACAAATCTGTTATTTTTATTCTTTTAGTTTTGCAAACAGGTCCCCAAGTGACACAGAAACATCAGGAATTTCTTCCAGGCACAGCACGACTTCTTCATCAGAAAACACAAGTTTTTCTTTAGAAAAATCGTCTCCAGGCTCTATGGGCTACAAAACTGAAGATTATGCTACTGGATGTAGCACTAGTCCTGCTTCTACTACTTATGGTAATTGATAATCCTTTACAACTTGAGGGACTCTAAAATACTTTATATGGCAATTCAAAATGCAAAGATTTCGATGGCTAATTTTCTAAGTTTTAAGTTCTATTATTTTATTTCAGTTGCTGAAAAAGCAGATTTTACGCATTTGAGAAACTTGGATGAAAAGTTTTTTTCCAACCAGAATATCCACTGAGGGTATTGGAACTAACGTTTCAAAATACAGTAGTGATAGTTCCAGTGATGAAAATAGTGATGGTGAAGATTTGAGCAGTGATGACTCCAAGAGTAGCAGTAGCAGCAGTAATAGCAGCAGCAGTAGTGATGATAGTGAAAATGGTGAAAGTGATGCAGAAAACAACGATGCTAGTCATTACCAACATGGTGATAAAATTGCTAATGCAAATCAAAATATTTTTGGTGACAAGGTTAGTGAATTAAAAAATGATAACTTAATTCATGTAATTAGTGATGATAGTAGGTTTACTGATTCAAATGATTCCAACATTCAAATGGTTGAAACATTCAAACAAATGTTGATGATTCTTCATCGCTTGAACTTATTAATGATAACTGTAGTGACAAAGATTAATTGTTTCTAGTAATAGTAATAGTGTTCAAAGTGTTGAATGCCTTGATGCAAATAATGATGTATCAACAAATATAAAATTGATAATGACGGCGCTGCTGAAGAATCAGTCATGGTTAACGATTCAAGTGATTCTGATAGTGAAGTTAATGACGATAGGCGATCAGAAGCAAGTGACTTTGAATGTGTTGAAATTATTGAAGACAATGATGAAAACCCATTAGTAAATGGAATCACTGATGATAGTAATGAACCATTTGTGAAAGATGAAGAATTCTATTAAAACAATGATTGTATGATACGAATACATATTGTTCATCAAAAAATAATGGTATTGATGAAGAAAGTAGTAGTGATAAGTATTTGTTGCAAATGAAGAAGATGAATATATGCACAATACCGAAGCTATTATTGAAATTACTACTGTAGAGTGTGACACGGAATCAAGAACTGCAAATTGCCAAATAAATGAAGAAAATGAAGTTGATACTTCAAATCTTGTTCCAATTACAGTTGAAGAAGGTGATAACATTGCGCAAGCTGCTTCTCCAGATCGTGATACAGACCAAAAAATTGGTGATAAAATCACTGATGACTCGAGTGATGCTACTGAGATATCTGTAGTTGATGCAAGTATAAATAAAACAAATGCTGAAATTGTATCAAATAATATGGGCAATGTTGAAACTGACTTCGGCAGTGATCACAATATTGTTGGTAATGAAGATGGAAATAATGTAAGTGCTGATCCATCATCACATAGTGATGAAAGCTTTAGCATTAGTGAAGCTGTGATAGAAATTGATACTTCAAGTAATGATGCAGAAGTTGTAATAAGTGGCAGTGAAGTTTGCTCAACCGGTGCAGATGTTTCTCAAAATCCTTTAGTAAATGAGAGTGAAATTAGGACAGAAAACCAAACTGTTAATTCTAGTGTAAATAATGTAAATAATCCAGAGGTCGATGATAATGATATAAATAGATGCAAAGAAATTATCCTAGAAACAAAATCATATGATATGACGTTAACAAGTGCCAAACCTGAAATTTTGTACAAAACAAATTTAATATATAACAAAAGTAGAAGTCTTTCTGATATTACAAAATTGGATAATAAACAAATCTCTATATTTGAACATTGTGTGTTTCAAAAAAATCGATTTAGGAGTGTAAGTTTTTGTGACAAATTTAGGACTACGGTTAAAGACGATCAAATATTTGGTGAATATAAGAGAAGGCGAAGGAGAACTTCAAGTACATCAGTCATATCTGAATTCCAGCATTCAAATGAGCCGTTCAATATTTGGGCTTCAAGGGATATCTTGGAAGTGGATATAAGAACTATAACACCTTCTGTGGAGATCCTCACAGTTAACCCCAACGAGGTAAAGCTTCAATATAACAACTTCTTTAAATATTGTTCTAGAATATTATGATTAGATAGAATTATGAATTCATTGTTTTACATGATTTTGTATAAAACATTTAACTGAATCCAAAAGAAAATTTTATGCAATTTTTGTTATTTGGATATATCTTTTAATCCTTGACATCATCATGGGTGTTTTGCTTGCTATTAATTTTTAATTATGTTGATGATAAAAATCATTCCCCTCTTTAGGATTCATTGGATTCTGAATATGAATTGAAGCACGATGTTGATGTAACTTGTTCCGAAAGAGTGTTTGATCCTGGCCTCAACTTTTCTAATTTTTCTATGAAATTTATAAGCCCCATCAAACCTACACCAATGAGACAATCGGTTTTTCCTGATGACGAATCCAACCTTCATGAATGCCTGAGCTCTAGTCCGATTAAAAAGAACAATGGTAAGATTTGTGAAAAGAGATTTTTAGGAAAAATAGTAGTTTGGGAATAAGTATATAGTTATCACGCGGTCGTACAATGCAATTTTTTTTTACTATTCAAAATAATTAATAAACCTTCCAGAATCTATTGACCACCATGAATTGCCTCAAGAAATAAGTGGCATAGCTAAACTTGATGTACTTCAAGATACAATTGACGATTCCTCCAAATTAATCAATACTGTGGATGACCGAGTACAATCATGTATTCAAGCCAATAACGTTTCCGTATGTAGTCTTCCTCATTTGAATCCAGAAGATATCGAGAAGGTTGTTAACACAGATTCTAGTTGTGATTCAGTTGCATGTGACCTAGTTGATGATAGTTTAAATAATTTAAAAACCGATGGTGTCACTGTGGATTTGAACACAAGTGGAGAAGTCGTTGCTTTTGTGGAGCATCTAACAGCAGATGCAGATTTTGCGGAAGTGCAAACACATGGTTTAATGCATTTTGAGGAAGTTGTAGAATCTACGCAACTTCAAAGTTTTGACAATGGGTTTGATACTAATTTAGGGAAAAGTACAACAAAAAATCAGAATAAGGATAAGACATCTCCAGAATCTTTGTTTGCAATACCACGTGAGATCCAAGATTCCAAACCTCACAATGGACCATTAGAAAGGATATTAAAGACTATAGCAGAGTTTAGTCCTCCAGTAAAAAATGTTTTATATGATGTTTACATTCCGACACCAGGAAGAAGTCTTTTGAAGTCACACTCGACTGTCGATTATTACAAATCGCCTGTTTTTAGCAGCGGTGGCAGTGATCGCAAAAGAAAAACTGTAAGCAGTCCTGCTGCGAAATTGTCCTCTGAAAGAATTAGAGCAGCTACAGTCAGAGGAACTAATTCTAATGATGTAAGCCCAAAAGGTTAGTAATGGGGATCAGAACATTAATATCCTGATGAATAATATTGAAATGTATATTTTTAAGCAAAGGTAAAAAATGATATTTTAGTGGAATTGTAGTTTTGATCAGGAAATGTATAACAACTTCATTTCTCCTATAGAAATCTAAAAAAGTTTTATTCTTAATCATGCATTGTATTTTTTCCACGGTTTGTTTTACAAGTAGCAATAAATCTCTGCAATATCTTTTTTTAGATCGGGATGATATAAATTTGAATTTGCTCTTAGGAGACTTATCGGATGACGCTAGAGATTTCGATTTGGCCTCCTATATAACTGAGGAGGATTGCAAAGGTCTTTTATTGCCATCGTCTACACCAACGTCTCCTGGCCTTAATCCGGTTCCTCCAAGGACACCGGGTGATGCAGTTCCCAATTCTGAGGCTGCTAACGAATATAGTCCGGCAGCCGCATCAAAAATAGCCAGGGAAATGGTGCGGAAATTGGTTATGAGGACGTAAGTTCGTCACCATGAATATTAGACTTAACAAGCGCGAATGAAAGAAAAAGTTTACTTTTGTTCTACTGCACCATGCAGTTGGTTGGCGTCTCATTATGTAAATCAGACGGACAAAGTGTGCAAATGCAATTGTGCATTTATACAAAAATGAAAAATGTTACTGCTATTTTTCCTACCACTATAGAATATTTTTTTAAATAACTTATATATTTATGGATAAAATAGCATTGGCCAACATATTTAACTTCCCGTAGGGTAAGTTATTGTAATGGGCCGAAAATCGGAATTGAAAATTTTTACATTTCTCGACGTTTTGAAGGTTTCTGAACGTTTTGGCATACCTCAGAAAAAATGGATGTGTGTGTGTGTATGTATGTGTGGATACAAATTTCCAGTCACGTTTTAGGGCGCACGGATCAACCGATTTGAATGGTTCAAAAAACATTCGATTTCTATTGATAGGGAAAAGAGCTGATTAGTTTTTGGCAAAGGCAGGTCCAGCCGTTTCGGAGATACGGAGCAAAGAGTGCAGAAAATAGAAATCGTATTTTTGAGAGAACGGAGTATCCGATTTGAATGATCTAAAAAACATTCAATTAGTAATGATTGGGAGAAGTGTTTATTAGTTTTTGGCAAAGGCAGGCCCAGCCATTTTGAAGATACGGAGCTAATATGTAAAAATGGCAGTTTTTGAGAGAACTAAGCGTCCGATTTAAATGATTCAAAGAACTTTCTGCTTGTCTTAACAAAATAATCGATTTTGGAAAAAAAAATTGTCCAATTTTTTCTTTTTTTTTTTCAGTTTTTTGTATGTCGAAAATATTTATTTTTAATTCTGACTATAGTTCTAATATACTTTACAAATAATTTCAACTTTGCAATTCAGTTTATATAATATTTATAAATATTAGACAATGTTACAATATTTATAATAATCTATTTGAAAACATTCAGTAATCCTCGAACATTTCGTTACGGTACGGGAAGTTCCAGCAATTTGCCTTAAGGCATGATGCCACCCACCCCACTAGTTTTATTTAAATATGAAAAGATCTTTGGTTAATTACTTCACAATACAAACAAATGTTTTGTATTGAACAGGTCACTTCAGCCACTTGATAAAGTACAGATGTCCATTGAACCACTATTTGCTAATAATAATAGTACATCCAAAATGTCCATTGATAAAAACTCATCAGCGCTTGAATCTCCTCAGAAAGATTCTTCTTTCTCCACAGAGGATGAATCAATAGATGTGGTCACAATCGATGAAAAATGTCAGGTAAACCATTCTCTAAATTATTCAAAGTTTTTATCAAATACCCAATTGTTCTGAATCTGATGTAAATTTTTATCATGTAACACTAACATAAACTTTCATACATTTTAGACACCAAGCAGTTTCCATTCTAATCAGTTCTATAGGAAAACGGATGAACGCGCAAAAGGTCTAGGTGTAGGCAAAGGTAAAAATATTAAATCAATGTGCATACCAGAGTCTGATGGTACTGATGAGGGAGAGAACCAGGATGATGACAGTCCCTACATGGAAAGTTCTGAGAGTGATAGTGATGATTCGAGAAAGGCTGATCCTGACTATTGCATTCGTGAAGATGAGGTATATTTTCAGTTCATTCTTAAATTTGCTTAATCTTAGATAAAAGGATTCATAGAATTAATTTTGAGAAAATTTTAAACTTGTTTTGCTATTTAAGTAACAATATTTTTGAGTTGATTTAATTTTAAGCTTCTCTTACGAACTAAAATTATTTTAAAATACGATTAAAGCAAATAGAACTACCAAATTTAAAACTCCATTTTTCTGTCCTATATTAGGCATCATTGAAAAAACTATCTCGCAGTTCAGATAAGAAGCAAAATAATACAAAAAATGAGGACAAACCATCTAACAAAAATTCTAAGCGTAAAAAAGATAATAAGAAATCCCAAAAACCTGTTAAAACCAAATTAATGAAAGATGCAGAGAAGAAATGCTCTCAATTGGTTGACATTAGAAAAATTTCATCGATGACCGATTCACAAGCTGATAAAACTGTCAGCAATACTTCAAAACCAGCCCGCAAACCTGAAATTTCTGACAAAACTCCTAGGTTAAATAGAGATGTTTTAAATAAGCCTGTATTAAACAGAAATTAATAAAAAATGAGAAGTTTAGTGTGCATCCAATGAACAATATTAGTGTAATAGTTTAAGTGCCAAAGATAATTAATGCATAGTGAAAATAATAAATCTAATATATTATTAGCATGTAGTGATAATAGTGTTATTGTTAATAGTTCTGTTAATCCTGATGAAACCGGAGGATTAACTTGCATTTCTCCAAGTGGTCAAAGTCCTACCTATGCTGAAGACAATATGATATAAAACAGTTAAACAAACTAAAAGAAAGCTAAACTTGCAAGAGTATATGATGCGAAAAAATGTGGAGGTGGAAAAGAGGATAATAATGAGACGACTGCCAGTAATTCAAGCACTCCTAATAATAGGATAAATAGTTCTGCTAATGAAATCACTGCCTTGAATCCGAACACTGCCTTGACATCGAGTCCTCCCAAAGTCAATGATTCGAGTGTGAATCAACCAGAACACATGAAAATGTTTCAAAACAAGTGCTGGTTCCAAAAGCTTCTTCACCTGCTGCATCAAATTTGATGTTGACTCCAAGAACGAAACAAATGCTTGTAACATGAATAAAGGAGTAGGAATTTCTCCAACAATAATCCTAATTCAAATGGTTGTAACATGAATAAAGGCATAGGAAATACTCCACAATTAATCCTAACTCAAATGGTTGTAATATGAATAAAGGAGTAGGAATTACTCCAACAACTAATCCTAATTCAAATGGTTGTAACATGAATAAAGGAGTAGGAATTACTCCAACAATTATTCCTAATTCAAATGGGTGTAATATGAATAAAGGTGCATGCAATACTCCAACAACTAATCCTATTTCCAAAATCTCTCCTTCGAACTCAAACCCAAGGTATTTGATCCAATTGGAGATGCATCTAGAAAGCAATGATGCTGAAGAAATGTAATCGTAAAGAAAAAGACATCGAACGCATGATTCCTGTTATACCTCCAAGTGCCATAGTACCTCTAGAAGAAATGATCAAACAAAAGATGAAACGAAACAAGTCCCAGACCTTCCTAGGAGATGCAATCCAGAATATGAAGAAATTGTTTTAGTGTCAATAGGAGTGAACACTGCAATAAGTAAAAAACCAAGTTTTTCGCCTGCAGTGTTGCCAGAGAGCAGCAAGTTATCCTTCGTTTTGGCGAAGAAGTCGGTGTTGCCTGATAATGTTTTCGAGCGCGCACCGCACGACAAAAGCAAATTAAAAGTTTTAGTTGACATAAATGACAGAATTTTGAAAGGTGCGTCCAAAAAGGAAGCAAAGATCTCAAGCAATTCGTTATTATCCAGTATACAAGACGCTTGCTAAGGACACAATCGCCGCAGACGGATAAAAATAACGTTGTCAGTGACAAAACTAATGACAAAACTGATCAGAAAGAAGTTGTGAAAATATTGAACAAGTCGCGAAAGTCGAACACGGAGAAGATAAAGTAATAATGCATCTCAGAAAGGATAGGTTACGAAGCAAAACCTGCAATGTTGCTTGCCAAATAGACCTGGATTCGAGTTTCAAGCCTTTAGAGACACTAAAATCTCCTCTCATTGTGAAAGAAATGACGGATAAGTGCAAAAGCCGAATGATCCAAGGTGAGCGCAATAGAATTAGGTTATGACACGTGATAATAACAAGTCACGTTGTCTTATTTTTAATCTAGAATTAATCTTTAGCCTAAACGAATTATTTGTGAAAAATGCTTATTTATGGAACTATACGCAATTTTCGTAAAAATAACAGATATAGCTGTAATTAGCATTTTCCATTGCAAGGCATTTGCGTGTACTTCCATATGTAAAAATGAACAAATTATTCAATGAAAATGAAGTTACAGCTTTTTAAATAAAGTCTGCAACAGTTCATTTCGAAAATACGCTTTCATTAAAAATAATTAATACGATTTCCAGTCGATGTCTTTCAAAATTTGTTCTATTATTAAAATCTCTAATGCTTTGATGTGCATATGTCTAATTTCTGCCAAATATATATTTTTTTCTTTATTTTATCTGTATCTTCGAAATACGAGTAAAATGTTTTTTGAATAATTCAAATCGGTTGATCCGTGCGCCCGAAATCGTGGACGAAAAATTGTATACAAACACACATACATACACACATACACACACATACATTCATTTTTTCTAACAATAAGGAAACACTAGAATGTTCAGAAACCTTCGAAACGTAAAGATATGCAAAAATTTTCATTTTCGATTTTTTGCGATTATTATAACTTACCCTACGAAAAGATAATAAATTAATTTGTTCATACCATTACATTTTATTTATTCCGTGTTCTAAAAATGTATTTTATTTAAGTCAACTGTAATCAGTAGATAAATACAAAACACTAAAGAACGTACATAGGTTTCGGCAAGATTCTGATTAGAATTAATTGCTCAAGTCTACTGCGCAATTCTAAACTTTCATGAAATTTAATAATTCAACTGCTTGTAAACATTGAATTATTCAAATCGATTGATCCGTGTTCGCTAAATCGTCGAAAATTTGTATCAGCACACACACATACACACAACAATTCATTTTTTTAAGCTATCCCAAAATGTTCAGAAACCTCTGAAACGTAAAGATTTTATAAAAATTTCATTTTCAATTTTTTGCGATTACTATAACTTTCCCTACGGGAAGATAATAAATTAATTCGTTCATCTCATTACATTTTATTTATTCCGTGTTCTAAAAATGTATTTTATTTAAGTCAACTGTAATCAGTAGATAAATACAAAACACTAAAGAACTTACATAGGTTTCGGCATAGATTCTGATTAGAATTAATTGCTCAAGTCCACTGCGAAATTCTAAACATTCATGAAATTTTATAATTCAACTGCTTGTAAACAATTCAAATCGATTGATCCGTGTTCGCGAAATCGTCGAAAATTTGTATCAGCACAGACACATACACACAACAATTCATTTTTTCTAAGGTATGCCAAAATGTTCAGAAACCTCTGAAACGTAAAGATTTATAAAAAATTTTGTTTTCGATTTTTTTGCGATTACTTTAACTTACCCTTAAGTTAAAGGGGAGTTAGAGAAAATTTCAACATTTAATCTTTGGTCAATCTTCACCAAAAGTTAATGAAAGCTATTTGCAATCAATATCCTTCGAACAGTTTTTGAATTTTCAAAATCACTTCAGGATTTTTGGCAAAAACTAGGAAAAGTTTTGAATTCAATTGCTAATAAAGAAATGGCTCGGTCGATTGTCTCGGAAACCTGCTCAACGTGCGTTTTATGAAGAATCTTTTAAGTTTTTTAAAACAATGCAGATTAAAAATTATTATTTTGAAGTCTGAATCCAATCATTTTTTTTTCATTTCCCAAAAAAGAGTATGAATCTCGATGATCATATGATAAAGTAAAATAACATTTATTTTTATTTGTCTATTAACTCTAATAATTCGATTATTTTCTATTTTAGCAAGCGCGTTAGGCCTCGAACCAGAAGCCGAAGCAGGAGCCCCAGTAAACGTAGAAAACCCGAAAAACGACACTCAAGAAGTAGATCTCCTGAAGATAGGTAATTTTATAAAATATTTTCAATAGGTTCCATCATTAGAAGAGGAATATTACTGTTATATTATATTTAGACAAAAAAGGCGTAAAGACAGACAAGGGCGACACAGGTCTCGTTCTAGGCACAGATCGAGGTCTAAAAATAGATCATTGTCAAGAAATAGATCCAGATCAAGGAACAGGTCCAGGTCCAGAAACAGGTCTAGGTCTAGAAATAGATCAAGATCACCGAATAACAGGAGGTTTGGATAAAACATTTTTTAAATTATTATAATTATTTATGAGTTGATATTAATACTATTTAATTGCAAAGGTATAGAAATTCTCGCTGTTCTACATCGTCAACGACTTCAAGGTCTTCAAGTGGAGGAAACTCCAGAAGATCTAAATCTATTGACAGGTCTTTATCCAGGTCTCGTTCCAAAACTCGATCAAGATCACGATCTAGAAATAGGAATTTTAGAAGACAAAGGAAAAGCAGAGGTAATACTTGTTTGGCTCTTTTGACTTGAGATTATATATTATATATATATATATATATATATATATATATATATATAAATAAGTCGGGTTTTTCCTTTCTGACGATTCAACTCTAGAACGCACGAACCGATTTCGACAATTTTGCATTCGTTGGACAGGTCTCGGGCTCCGCAAGGTTTATAGCTAAGAAATTTAGTGGTTCATGGCATCGTGCCTCAATGCAAATTGCTGGAACTTCACGCACTGTAATTAAATATTCGAGTAATGAAAATAATTATTTTAAATAATTTCAAATAGATTATCCAAAAATTCCAGTAATGACATTAGTGAGAATTATCAGAATTATGCTTGGTTAAGTCAACGAGCAATTCTTGCCGCAAAAAATAATGATTTACACGCACTGAATTTCACCATTCATCAAAAATTGCTGGCGATTTGGTGACATACCAATGATTCCGACTGGTCTTCCGTTTGACTTCAAACGATTGCAATTTCCAGATTGATTTGCGTTCGCAATAACAAGTCGCAAGGCCAATCGCTTAGTGTTTGCGGGATAAATTTCAAATAGATTATTTAGAAAATCATTGTTTTTCACATGGATAGTTATACATTGCCTGCTCACGAGTTGGAAAGCCATCCGCTTTGTTTGTGTCAACGTCAGACCAAAAAACAAAAAATGTGGTTTACCAAAGAGCACTTCAATGAAACGG